TAATGAACTTTCAGAAAATTTTAAAACAGTGCTGCTTATGATTACATCAAAAACAATAACAAGCATAAATTTAACCAGGTAGATAGAAGATGTGTACACTGAAGAGGCGCCTGAGTGTCTCCGTCAGTTAAGCATCTGACTTTGTCTTGGATGATGATCTCAGGGTCCTGGGACTGAGTCCCACATCGGGAGTCTATTTATCCCTCTCCCCTAGCCCTTTCCGCCACTCATTTGTGCATTCTCACGCATGCGCGCGCATTCTCTTTCTCTCTTTCTCTTTCTCTCTCTCTCCAGTAAATAAAATCTTTAAAAAAAGGTCTGTATACTGAAAACTAGAAGACACTGAAGAAATGTCTGTTTCTGAGACATTGAAGAAAACACAAATAAGGTGGAAAGATAATTCCATGTTCATGCATTAGAAGAATTGATATTATTAAAATTTTCACACTCCTGAAAACAACCTACAGATTTGGTACAATCCTATTAAAACTCATAGTGGCATTTTTCACAGAGCTAAAACAGTCTTAAAATTTGTATGGAATCGCAAAAGACCCTAAATGGTCAGAGCAATCTTGGGAAAGAAGAACAAAACTGGAGGCTTCACACTCCCTGATTTCAAATTGTATTACAAAACTACAAAACTATAGTTCTCAAAGCAGTGTGGTATTGGCATAAAACAGATACATAAATCAGTGGGATAGAATGCAGAGCCAAGAATAAATGCACACATATATGGTCAATTTATAACAAAGGAGCCAAAAGTATACAATGGGAAGAGAATAGTTTCTTGAAGGGATAGTGTTGGGAAAACTGGTCAGCCATATGCAAAAGAATGAAACTGGACTCCTTCCTATCTTACACCAAAATCAAATCAGAATAGATCAAAAAAAATTGAACACAAAACCTAAAATCATGAAACTCCTAGAAAAAACATAGAAGTTAAGATCCTTGGTACTGTTTTTTGGCAGTGATTCTTTTGAGTTTGACATCAAGAACAAAGGCAACAAAAGCAAAAATAAGTAAGTGGGACTACATCAAGCTGAAAAGCTTTTGCACAGTAAAGGAAACCATCAACAAAATGAAAAGGCAACCTACAAAATGGGAGAAAATATTTGTAAATCATTTATCTGATAGGGGATTAATATTCTAAATATATATATATATATATATGAAAAACTCTCAATGGCAAAACAATCCAGTTAAAAAATGGTAGAGGAGGGATCCCTGGGTGGTGCAGCGTTTTGGCGCCTGCCTTTGGCCCAGGGCGCGATCCTGGAGACCCGGGATCGAATCCCACGTCGGGCTCCCGGTGCATGGAGCCTGCTTCTCCCTCTGCCTGTGTCTCTGCCTCTCTCTCTCTGTGACTATCATAAATGAATGAATGAATGAATGAATGAATGAATGAATGAATGAATGGTAGAGGAACTGAATATATACTTTTCCAAAGAAAACCTATGTGGCTAACAGGTAAATGAAAAGGTGTTCAACATCTCTATCAGGGAAATACATATCAAAACCACAGTGAGATAACACCTCACACATGTTAGAATGGCTGTTATCCAAAAGAGACAAGATAACAAGTATTGATGAGGATAGAGAAAAAGGAACCATTGTGCACTGTTGGTGCTGTAAATGTATATTGGTTGGGAAAGTAAAACAGTATGGAGCCTCCTCAAACAATTTAAATAGAACTACCATTTCATCTGACAATCCCACTTTTGGGGAAATATCCAAAGGTCATGAAAACAGGATCTAGAAAAGCGAGCACTCCCATGTTCACTGCTTGTTATTTATAATAGCCAACATATGGGAACCTAAGTGGGTGTCAGCAGATGAAGGGATAGAGATGTGGTACACATGCAATGGAATATTATTCGGCTGTGAGAAAGAAGGAAATCCTGCTATTTGCAACAACCTGCATGGATCTTGAAGGCATGATGCTAAGTGAAATAAACCATACAGAGAAAGACAAATACTGCATTGTATCACTTATATCCAGAACCTAAAATTAAAGATCAATTCATTAAAAAAGAGAACATTGGGGCACCTGGGTGGCTCAGTTCAGAGTATCTGACTCTTGATTTCAGCTTGAGTCATGATCCTAGGGTCTTGGGATTGAGCCCGATGTTGGACTCCAGGTTTAGCATGGTTTCTACATGTCCCTCCCCCTCTGCTCCTCCCCCTTGCTCATGCACGTTTGCTCTCACATCTCTCTCAGTCTCTCAAGTCTTAAAAAAAAAAAGAAAAAGTTGCTGGAGGGTGGGGATATAGGGAGAGGTTAACAAAAGGGTACACTCTGTAAGATGAAAGGTTAAAGATTTTATTTACAACAATAAATCCTCCAGAGGATTTATTATAGATTGGAGGATCCAATATAAAATGATTATAATTGATAACACTTGATTATATATAACTGAAATTTGCTAAGAGAACAGAACCTAAATTTTCTCAAAAAAAAAAGATAAATATATGACATTTTGGATATGTTAACAAACTAGATTGTAGGGGGAGCCTTTCACAGTATCATATATATATATATACAATCACCACAGTGTATACTGTAAATATCTTACAGTGTTATCTGTAATTATACATCAATAAGGCTAAAAAAATTAAGTTAAAAATTAGTTTATAAGTTTATATTACTTTTATAATCAGAAAAAAAATGTGAGGAAAACTTAAGAATGTCTAAGTCTCTGGCAACATGGGCGGTAATTTGCTTGAAAGGTGAAGCAGATCCCTGGAAAGGTAGCTAAAGCTTTGCACATCAGAGAAATGGACACTCATACATGTTTATAAAATTTTATATAACGTATCAAAGGCTGGATCCCTTGACCCACATCTGTGGATCTCAGTTATTTTCTTCACAGCCAGGTTTCTCCAGTCGATCGTTTTCCCAGACAGTGACAATCTGGCTTATGTTCTTATCATACATATCACTGAAACTGTTCCTTCTAATGTCATTAGCAACCTTTTAGTGGTCGTCACACTGCCTTTGATTTTCTTTTGCCCTGGTTTTAATTTGTTCTTCGATGTCATACTTTGTATCATTGCAAACTGCCTGAAATCATTTCTGAAATGAGATACCAATCAACAAATACTTTTACTTGTGTCACATTTCTCAAATAATGGTTACCCCAGCCTTTCTCCAGAGCTCTAAGTTGATCTATCTGCTACTTACCAATACCAAGGTGCCTATATCTTCTAAGTATCTGAAAATAAACACATCCACTACTGAGCTTACTGTTGACCCCAAGACTGCCCTACTATATTCTGTTTCAGTAGAGGAAATCGGTACCAAAAAAAGAAAGAAACCAGTACCTTTAGATCTTATACTTGAGAATTTGTATCCCCTGTTTCAGTAAAAGTGGAGATCCCAGATCTCTGCCTTTTAGATCTTGGTTCCTCAGCCTTTCGTCTCTTCTCTCCTACTGCTACTAGCCTAGCTTGTATTCTCAACTGCTTGTGCCTGAATTGCTGCCATAGCTTCCTAATTGATGTCTCTGCCTCCAGCCTCCACTACTGCAATCTGTAGTATTTTAGCTGTCTGTTCTTTCTAAAATAGAAACCTGATGGGATGTCCGGGTGGCTCAGCGGTTGAGCATCTATCTGCCTTCAGCTCAGGACGTGATCCTGGAGTTCCGGGATCGAGTCCCACATCAGGCTCCTGCATGGAGCCTGCTTCTCCTCCCTCTGCCTGTGTCTCTGCGTCTCTCTGTGTATCTCATGAATCAAATAAAATCCTTAAAAATAAAATAAAAACCTGATATTTTTGCTCCTGTGATGAAATTCTCACAGCTCCAGTTGTGCTCTTCAAACTGAGATACAGGTACCCAGAAGAAAGTTGTCCTGTGCTAGGTGATCCGGGAAGCTGTGGGACAAATCTGTAGCATCCTCCTGGAGTTTCAGTTTTGCTTGAAGACTTTCGGGGAGGGCAAAGAAGGTACTAGGAGTAGCTTGTAAAATAGTTTAAGAAACACTGACTTCCAAAATAAAGTCTAACCTTCCTTAGCGTGGTATACAAGATCCCGTATGACCTAAGCTGATGATGCGATCTCCATGATCCACCAGACTGGATAGTCTCAAGTCCATCGGGAGGGCAGAGTAACTATAAATCTTTAGAGTGGAGAAGCAGAGAGGAGGAGGTAGAGAGAGCATAATCGAGCTAGAAAGATGGATGTAAAAGCCTCCAGAATTGAGAGCTGACCAAGGCCAGGTGACAGATTAGCCCTTAAGGAAGAGTTAGAGCAAGGTCAAATTAAAGATGGAGATGTTATGCACCAAGAAACAAAGTCTGGGGCATCTGGGCGGCTCAGTCAGGTAAGCATCTGCCTTCAACTCACGTCATGATCCCAGGGTTCATGCCCCTGTATGGGCTCCTTGCTCAGCAGGGAGCCTGCTGCTCCCTCTCCCTCTGCCTGCTGCTCCCCCTTCTTGTGCTCCCTCCCCCTCTCTCTGTCAAATAAATACCTAAAACCTTTTTTTTTTTAAGATTTTATTTATTTATTCATAGACACAGAGAGAAAGAGGCAGAGACACAGGCAGAGGGAGAAGCAGGCTCCACGCAGGGAGCCTGACGTGGGACTCGATCACAGGTCTCCAGGATCACACCCCAGGCTGCAGGCAGCGCCAAACCGCCACGCCACCGGGGCTGCCCAAACTTTTTTTTTTTTTTTTTAAAGGCATATATAATAAATTCTGAAGGATATGATTAAAGCAGTGACCTGAAGAATTATAAAGCATTTAATTAACATCTTAATGTGAATATCATGATATGACAGTGGGAGAGAGGTGAAAATTTAAAGGAAATAGCAGAAATAAGCATAGAGGTGGTGGTGCTGATGTTTACAGACCACGTCACAGAAAGATGTAAAAACTAACTCTGTGAGTAGCTTCATAAAGCTACACATATAAATGCTGTAACCTATGATGTCAACTGGAAAAACTAGGACTTGAGGGATCCATTTGTGAGTAGTTCATGCTTCTCTCTCTGTCTCTAGTTATTGTGACCAACTGAAAGTCTCGGAGAGTACCCACGTGCTTCAGCCCTTCCTCCCCAGTATCCTGGATGGCTTAATTCACCTAGCGGCCCAGTTCAGCTCAGAGGTCCTCAACCTGGTGATGGAGACCCTGTGCATCGTCTGTACAGTAGACCCAGAGTTCACAGCAAGTATGGAGAGCAAAATTTGCCCCTTCACCATCGCCATTTTCCTGAAGTACAGTAACGGTATGCCACCAGGACTGCGTGTTGACGAGGGGCCCCAGAGGGAAGGTTGTGGCTGGGGAGTTTACGTGAAACTTTCCCCTGGGTCTGACGGTCTTAAGCATCATAAGCAAAGAATGGCTTTCACTCAGCAAAGAGGAGAGCCGTGCTGGTATTCAGGAGCGTGAAAAAGTAGAGTACCTATTCCTGTCACTCTCACCTGCAGTCAGAACTGGGGGAAAAAGACGATGAGTAAAGGGTTAACAGGCAAGAGGTGCACTTCAGAACTTTAACAATCAAGTAGGAAATTGAGCCGACGACATCAAAATCTTCCTAAAAGAAGACACCTGCAGCTATAACATAGAAAGTGAGGTACTAAAGAAATAGACCTGGATGGCGTACGTGGAGGGTTATGAACAGTGGGGTTTATCACATGGCTTTTGTAGTAGCAAAACTTTAGAAGTAATAAAGAAAGATTAAGTACGTTTATTATATTCATAAAGTGGAATACCATGCAGCCTCCAAAAATCAAACTTCAAAGGAATAGTTAAAGCCATGGGAAAGTGCTCACATTATAATAAGAGAATAGATGGTTTACCAAACTGCATAGAATCTAATCCCAAATTCTGGATTTTAGACAAGGATAAATTTATGGATATGTACAAAGAAAAAATGTATCAAAAGGATGGGCAGCCCGGGTAGCCCAGTCATTTAGCGCCACCTTCAGCCCAGGTCATGATCCCAGGATCCCGGGATCCCGGGATCGAGTCCCACGTCAGGTCCCTGCAGGGAGCCTGCTTCTCCCTCTGCCTCTCTCTCTGGATTGCTCATGAATAAATAAATAAATAAAATCTTTAAAAAAAAAAATGTTCAGGGTAGATGCCTCTAGGTGGTACAATTCCAGGTGTTTTCTTTCCTTGAATACTCTCCTACATTTTAAGCTTTCCAGCGGGGAGTGTGTATTATTAACACATTTACTTGTGTAATGCTTTATTACCAGAGGAAATATTTGTCTTTGTAGAGGGAGCACCAATATTAAAATAAAGATATATAGAGATAGGAGTTACATAATATATCATAGTAAACATTTTATTTGGTTTGCTCTTTCACTTAAAATGTGTCCTGCAGAGATTTCCACATTGCACTCTTAGAGATCTCTCATTCTTTTCATTTTTTTTTAAAGATTTTATTTATTCATGAGAGATAGAAAGAGAGGCAGAAACACAGGCAGAGGGAGAAGCAGGCTCCCTGCAGGGAGCCTGATGCGGGACTCGATTCCTCCGGACCCAGGATCAGGACCTGAGCCAAAGCCAGATGCTCAACCCCTGAGCCACCCAGGTGTCCCTCTCTCATTCTTTTGAACCATCAGATAATACTCCATAAGATGGCTGTGTCATAATTTGCCCATTCTGATAATGCACATCTAGGTTGTTCACAATTTTTTTTTCAAAGCAGTGCTGCAGTAGTCTTTTAACGTGTATCTTAGTACACTGCACACTTTCTATTTTTTCCTGCTAGATATAGGAGTTGTTCTTTAAAAAGTAAAGTAGGTCAAGCTAAAGTTTCATTTCTTCCTCGGGCTCTGCTTTTTGAGGGTTTTACCTTTTGCCTTGGAAATGCTTTGGGCGTTCTTTTTTCTGTCATGACTACCCCCTGGGAGATGTATACGATTCCTCTTCAACATGGGAGAACCTGGCAGTCAGTGTTTTGGCAGTCTTGGAAACTTTCATGTCTTCTTTTATAATGTTAAAATTTTTTCCTTAAGCCTTTGATTTTATAATCCAGGTTTCACAATAAAATCATTAAACGATTTGCCCCAGGAAAGGAGCCAAATTTCACTTTAGGAGTCCCTGTTACCGGTTTCTGGCTTAATGAAACCACACATACTCTGGCTCTTGGAGATTTAGCATCTCTCCTATTCTTTCAGGTTATTCATACGGCCTCACTAGGTCCCAGGTATGTGATGTGTAAGCAAAAGTTGTTAACTTAGGTTAGGGCCAAACAATAGGCATCATGAAGCCAGAAGCACATGCAGACCATTGGGTGAGGGGTTCTGTGTTGCCTTCTCCACTTCAGATCCTGTCGTCGCCTCGCTGGCTCAGGATATCTTCAAGGAGCTGTCCCAGATTGAAGCCTGTCAGGGCCCGATGCAGATGAGGCTGATTCCCACTCTAGTGAGCATAATGCAGGCCCCGGCAGACAAGATCCCTGCAGGACTGTGTGCGGTAAGTGGTTACAGGGCACCGGAGTGGGTGTAGGTGTAAGAAAAAGAGCGTGCACACACTCTGCAAATGTCACCTGTGGATCCCACCTCGCTGACCGGAAGCCAGTGGCCTTAGAGATTCAGAGGGTGGTTTTCCTGGGCTACTTTGCCCAGAGGACAGTAGGTGATTCTTGAGGCTTTAAGAAAATGGTTCTTCTTGTTCCCGAGTTGCCCTCAGTGAATTAAACAAGTGCTAACACAGTGCCACTGAGTATGTCACCCGACTCTCTGTCCACTCCACTGCCATTTACCGCCCACCCTCCTATCTAAGCAAGCAGTGAGCTGTCAGGAGGCTGAGAGCACTATCTACTATCTAATTATTCCTTTCCTTCAGAAACTTGTATTATTGAAGATTAACAAGCGTTCTTTTGGCTGCTGTGTTGTATCCACTCAATAAGGATGGATCTTGTTGGACACCCCCAACCCCTACCCATGAGGCGGTTCTGATTCTTTTTCTCTTCTCTCCTTCAGACGGCCATTGATATCCTGACCACAGTAGTCCGGAATACAAAGCCTCCCCTTTCCCAGCTACTCATCTGCCAGGCTTTCCCTGCTGTGGCACAGTGCACCCTTCACACAGACGACAACGCCACCATGCAGGTACCTGAGCCATGGTGATTAGAAAAGGGAAGACAGCTCCCCAGCCATGGGCTTGTAGTGGCCTGAGAGAGCGGACACAGTCCCATGCTTTTGAGATCCAGGTCTCTCAAATCTGTATTTAACTAAGGAACCCAGGAAGGGTCCAGACTGCAGAAGCCAAGCATTCTCTGCTTTGGGATATGTTGTAATCTTAAAAGGGATGGATGCCAGGCATGCTTCCCATCTGTGTCTGGGCATTGCTAATGTGGATGAGATTACAGACCTGTAGACTTGAAATTCTAAAGCAAGTCTTTTCTGACCTTGCCTTATCAGCAAGATGATAAGCCTTTGGAAATCTCTAGGCAGACACCGATTCATATAGGTCTTGTTTATTCCCATATAGAGCTTTGGTATCTGTAATCACTGCTTGCATCTTAAACATGTTTTTCTAGTACTGGAGGTAGATCTTTATGGTTAAAACTTCATTTACTTGGCCAATATCCCTTGTGATCAGAAATAACCATTTTTAGATAGTTGATTAGGTGAAGCAAGGATTGAAAAGTGCTTGGCTCTATCTGTAACAGTAAACTCCTGACTCCAACAGTATATACCCACCACAAACCCTGTAGGCTCATCACTCTTATGAGGCATAAGCCTCTAAGAATAACATTTGCCCATACAGACTGAGGGCCTCCTGACATCTGTTCCCACTGTTGCTAATCTTGTTTGCCACCATTGTCTCCCCAGAATGGTGGAGAGTGCTTGCGAGCTTATGTGTCAGTGACGCTGGAGCAGGTGGCCCAGTGGCACGACGAGCAGGGCCACAATGGGCTATGGTACGTGATGCAAGTGGTGAGCCAACTCCTGGACCCCCGTACCTCAGAGTTCACTGCGGCCTTTGTGGGTCGCCTTGTCTCCACCCTCATCTCCAAGGCAGGGCGGGAGCTGGGGGAAAATCTGGACCAGATTCTTCGTGCCATCCTCAGTAAGATGCAGCAGGCAGAGACGCTCAGTGTCATGCAGGTAAGAGGACAGTGGGAGTTGGGCTTTCCCAACCAACCTCCAGGTGGTAGAGATGGAAATCAGTATACAGGTCCCGAGGTGTTTTTACTGTCATACTGTCCTTAGAGAACAGTTAAGTAACACCTGTGTGTTCTGGCCCAAGAAATACTGACAGGGAAGTCTCCGTGTCCTCTAGTTCTTGCCTGGCTGGCCCCATTCCCTCTCATCTCCAAGTCTCTGACATTGGTTTCCCTGAAGCAGATGTCCTTCTTGTTGCCTCCTAGTCTCTGATCATGGTGTTCGCCCATCTGGTGCACACTCAGCTGGAACCCCTCTTGGAGTTCCTGTGCAGCCTCCCGGGACCTACTGGCAAACCTGCCCTGGAGTTTGTAATGGCTGAATGGACGAGCCGACAGCATCTGTTCTATGGACAGTATGAAGGCAAAGTCAGGTAGGGCCGTCTTTCTGTTGTGGGCATTCCGCCTCTCCTTGCATTTCTTCCGTCTCTGACTTGCTTCATTGATTTTTGCTCGACATGTCAAACTGCCCCTTGTATTCCCTTTCCCTCTGTATCTTTATTGTTAGTCGGTGTCTTTGAAAAGCTGCCATCTCGAATTTCCAAAACATAGTCACAGGTAGACCGTGCTTGTTTTTCCTCTCTGCTGCCTAGAGATCCTCCTCTGCCAGACTTCAAGCCAAGCACTGCTAGTGGCTTATTCTCCTTTATAAACCCAAGCCTTCTAACCCTGGCTTGCTAACTTTCTATCTTAGACCTGCCTCCCACTGGTTCTCATCACCGCATTGCACTTTCCAGGTGGCCAGCCGTTGTGATCCTTGCCCCCCCTAGCTTTGTTTAAGAAGTTCAGAAGTTCTCATTAGGCCATCTTCGTGAACACTAAATCTCATTTTCAGCTGAACTCTCTTACCTCTTGTAATTAGTTGTGAACAGAATTTTCACCAATCAAGAGTCTCAGGACTTAATTGCTTATCTCCTTGGAATGAACTCTAGATGGGTTGCTGATTGACCCTTTTTGGCTCTTCCTTGCCAGCTCTGTGGCACTGTGTAAACTGCTCCAGCATGGCATCAATGCAGATGACAAACGGCTACAGGATATCCGCGTGAAGGGAGAGGAGATCTACAGCATGGATGAGGGCATCCGCACCCGCTCTAAGTCAGCCAAAAGTGGGTGATGCTGCTGCCCCTCCAGTCCCCTCCCTAGGGGCTAAAGTGGGGTGGAAGGCAGGGATGTACTGTAATCTAGGTTTTCTTTTTTAAACATAATTGTTAGTGATGGGTTTGATAAAAAGAAACAAAACTATAGGTAAACAAGGGATCAGAACATACGGCTCCTTCCTCTTGCTGGAAATTGGCAAAAACAATCTTAGGTACCCCAGCTTCCAGCTTCATTCGGGGGCTCTGATACCCATTTCAGCATGTCTTTGTTATCGGATTGCTTTTGGCCTACGATTTTAGTGATTTGTAGGCAGCAGGTGCGAAGCTGCCCTATTCAGCCGTAGGTTTATAATCACCTCTGCTGTTTCTCAAACTGCAAGTCATGGGCACTGGAGTATTGCACTCTCTACAGTTACTTGGTGTCCAAGCTTTATTACCAGCAAAAACCATTTTCTATCTCCTTTTAATTCCTGAACTCTCTTATCTGTCCTAACTTCTGAACTCTTAGACCAAGCAGAATGGAGTTATTTAACTTTAAATTGTTGTGTGGCAGCTGGATATAGTCTGGGATGGTGGAAAGCCTGAGGGATGGTAAACTGTGTCCGGTGAGCAGTGCCAGAAGTTAGCACAGTGACAGTCTTCCTAGAAGCCTTTCCTTTCCTTTCCAGACCCTGAGCGCTGGACAAACATTCCTTTGCTGGTCAAGATCCTGAAGCTGATCATCAATGAGCTCTCCAACGTCATGGAGGCCAACGCCGCGCGCCAGGCCACTCCTGCAGAGTGGAATCAAGGTGCACTGGCTCTTACTCCCAGCAGACTGTTAGCCCGGCAGATCAAGTTACAAATGTTCAAATCATCAATTTGGTTTATTGAATTACTGGGTTTTTTTTAAATGTTTGTATCATGCCTGTCATGTGGCTAGCACTGCTATGCACGTGAAGACCTCTTCAGGTCTGCCTTGTGAAATCTCTTCAGAGGCTGGGGTGGGCGGCAGCCAGGAGGCAGGCTAGTTAGCCCTTCCTGTATGGTTTTTCTTAGGAGTTTCTCAACCTTTTATCTAGCCACCTGAACACCCTCGGTTCTTCCATTTAAACTTATTGTGAGGGCTTGACCGTAGGGCCACATTACGGAAACCCATGGGACCTTTCCGTTCTGGCTTGTTTGCATTTGGGAAGGGACAGTGTGTGAGCATGCTCCAGCTGCTTTTCATCTCTGAGTAGATGACTCCAATGATATGTGGGAGGACCAGGAGGAAGATGAAGAGGAGGAAGAGGATGGTTTAGCTGGCCAACTCTTATCTGACATTCTTGCTACAAGTAAATATGGTAAGCCATTTGAGAAGAGGGCAGCCATGCTATGTACCTTTTCTGTGCACTGGTCCCAAGAGGCAGGGTGCCAAAGGAAGGGGGGAGGTGGGCTTGCAAGGGATGTACCTTGGGCTTCTTTAGCCCATCTACCCTAGCCGTGTGATGCCTTCCTGCTTGGGGCTCGAGCCTCTGCCCTGACCCCTCTCTGGTGGCTGTGTCTAACAGAGGAGGATTACTACGAGGATGATGAGGAAGATGACCCTGATGCCCTGAAGGATCCTCTCTATCAGATTGATCTGCAGGTGAGAATGTCCAGAGAAGATAGATGTTTTGCAAGTGACAATGCCTCAAGCCACTGAAACAGGAATATGGTCTCACACCCATTCGTAGTTTGTCCTGAGAGCTTCAGGGCAGAGAGTTCCTGTCCTACTGAATAGTCAAGGACTCTGGGTGGGCTGGGACTTTGCACCTTAGCATTTTATTCCTACCGGTATGGCAGTCCAGTTTCTTGCAACCCCAGCTATCTTGTGAAGGTTCTCCAGTAGAATAGGAGATCTGTTGGGAAAATTTCATTTCCTTACGTAATTGAGTCCCTGGGTTGAACCTAAACTAGATCCAAGAATGTAGAAAGCCATCCCTCAGGGTGTTGGCATTTGTCTCAGAGCCACTGCTTCCTATTCCACTTGTGCCTGCCCCACTGTGGATGGTGAGCCTGGGAACCCTCAGTAATGCCACTCTTTTTCTTCCCTCCAGGCATATCTCACGGACTTCCTCTGCCAGTTCGCTCAACAGCCCTGCTACATAATGTTCTCAGGCCACCTTAATGACAACGAGAGGCGGGTTCTGCAGACCATTGGCATCTAAAAAAAAAAAAAGGGAGACTTTCCACATTTGCTCCTCCTGGCTCAGCCACAAACCATTTTGCAGCCCTTTACTGGCCTCGACATGTACTTTCTTTTCAACCTAGAGTGGCCTCCTGACTCGGCCCTTGGTCTTTGCAGAGTGACACTGACAATTCAGACTGAGCTCACCAGTGCTGTCACTTAGGAAGACTGGAACAAAGGACATTTCTCAAAGTCCCCCTGAAGATACTCCATCTCTAGGACCTTTTTCTCCCCAGCTGTGCCCCCACTTCTGTTCCTAGAGTCCTCTGCTGGCCGCTCCCGAAACATATTGCCCAGAAGGATTATGTGTTCATGGATTATTTTGCCCCACCTCAGGAGCACAGGAAGCCATGACCATTTATATTCTAAAACAGACCTGTTTACTTCCATATAGGACATCTGAGGTGTTCAGATAGGAATACCCTTGAGAGATGATTGTGCTTTCTGCCCTCCACCACAGATGCTCTGGGTTCTCCATAGGAACGAGGGGAGCAGCTACCTTCTGAGCCCTCTCCAGTGACCTCTCCTTGTCTCCCTCCTACAACACTAAGGCTCCCCTGTCAGAGAGCGTCATCTTGGTTTTGCCTCATTGCATGATTCAGCACCTCCCCCCAAGCTATTCCTGCGTATACATGCACACACACAAAACAAGCCAGACAGATGGCAATTTGTTTTTCCTTTTTTAGGAAAGAAAAAAAAATGGGAAAAACATTTTTTAAAGTCCTCCTGACCCAACTATATTTAATATTCCTCTCCCACACATCACCACACAGTCTGATATTCAAAGGTTACCCCCTCTCCCTCAGGAATCCTCTAAAGTGGTTAAGTTGTAGCCCTCAAATTTGCAATGTGTATTTTTCTAGGAGAGTAAAGTAATCTTTACAAATGAATTTAGTCTGCATGGTATAAGGTGTCCCAGCACATCTGCCTTCTGTTCCTTTTAGAAGGAAAATAAAAGTAAGGAAAAAAAGATTAGGCGGAGCCATGTAGACACCCTAGTGTGTCCTAGGTAACCTAGCTTGAGCAAAATGACTCTTAGAGAACTGGTATCGTCCAATCAAGATTTTTTTTTTAAGATTTTATTTATTCATGAGAGACACACACAGAGAGAGGCAGAGGGAGAAGCAGGCTCTCTGTGGGGAGCCCACCACAGGACTCGATCCCAGTACCTGAGCCAAAGGCAGACACTCAAACCACTGAACCACCCAGGTGCCCCAATCAAGTATTTTTAAGGGAGGTCCCTTAATTGGGAATTTCAGTCTGTTGTATGTTCACAAAGTGAATGAGGATAACAAAGGGAGGAAGACAAAGCCCAGCACTCTCGTTTTGGCAGTGCCCATACCTGGTGCCCAGATTTAGCAGCTACAGATTTCTAGACGTTGACGTTCCTGCAAACAAGAAGCAGACTATCAAATGAATTTTAGCCTGTTCTTGAGGAAAAGACCACACTCCTAGGGCATTTCCTGTACAGGACTCTTACGGAAGCTTCAGGGTTTTGTAGCTAATAGTGGTTTCATGCCACTAGGTGTCCCTGGTGTGCAGTCCCCACATCTGAGTTGGGGAGAGTGTCTGTTAACGTTCCTGTCCTTGAAAAGCCTGAGAGCGCGTGCAGAGCATGGTCTGCTGCCAGCCAGGTTCTGAGACTAGTAACTGCTCCTGTTGCTTCTCCCCCTGGAGTTGGGAGAGTCCCTCACGCTGGGGGAGTGACAGGAGGTCTGGCCCATTGGTGCTCGAGAAAACCAATCAGCCTTAGCAACTCACCCTACTGTTGATCTCCATGCAATGCCATTGGTTCCAGTGCTGAAGGTTCCACAAGGCCAAATCAACCCTGACTGTGGCACAACAGATGGTCTCGCGCCCGTGGCGTCAAATTGCTGAGTTTGGGAAGGCTTGGAGCTCCCACACTGAGGATGATGGGGGCCCCTTCTGGGCCTGCTGAGTGGAAGAGAGTCTGTATCTGGTGCCAAAAATGGTTCTTGACAAGTGTCCTCTCTTGCTGATTTTTGGGGAGTACTGGAAAACTTGAGTCCTGAAGGCAAGGGTCTGGGTACCCCCCCCCCGGGGCCACCCTTGCCCAGCAGACACACTGTTGTGGATGAGAGCAGAGGGTCTTGGACCCCTTGGCATGTAAGCACTTCCTGTGCTCCCACAGCGTTTCCCATCACCCACTGGCCCGTTAGAGCAGGTGCACGGCGGGTGGTACTCCCGGTCTGGTTCTGTCAGTGAGGAGGAGCGTTCAGACGACGCCCAGCGTCAGCAGGGACAGGAAAGATCTGCTTGAAGCCAGTACTCCTGACGAAAAGTCGAACTCCAGCTCCTGTTTTGCCTCTTGTTCTTTTGGCCAAAGAACTAGCTTGGGCCTGAAAAGGCCAGGGCCAACCGGCTAGGAGCCGAAGTTCAAGATCAGTGAGGGGATGAGGGCGCGCTGGCGGCTCCAAGATCGTCCAGTCTCCTGAGCGTGCGCACCGCTAGGACGCCGGGGCACCGTTCCAGCCGCGGTTGAGCTCCTGGTGGAAGGAACTGAAGGGAGATTGGAAGAATCGACCAGAAGATGGAGAAGGCGGAAGTCCAAGCCCGGAAGGAAGCAGATTGTCGCAAGTCCCTGCCCGACCTGCGACATTGACCAGGGACCACAAGCGGACACGGCCCCGGCCCATAAATCGGAGTGCTGTCCTCGCTGGGGTTCCGTAGACGTCGCCATGAATTCAGAGCAAGTGCTGCCAAACTAGACTTGCAGGCTGATTCTGGTGACAGATAAAATCTGGACACGGTAAAATCAAAGCATCCGGGAAATAGAGAAGTTGGTTACTGGCCACCAACCCTCAGACTACAAAGTGGCTTATTGTGGAATGGTTTGCGCTGTGCCCCAGGGCGCTGTCCTTGTCCCCTCCTTTGATATGAATGACAGATGGGGGGGTTCATGCCTTACCCATTCCAAAAGGATCTGAGGCCATTTATAAAAGAAACAGGACTAGATAGGAAAGATGCCGATCACTTTTTTTTTTATTTATTTTTTTAGATGGGAGAGAATCCCAAGCAGGCTCCGTGGGGCTCCATGTCTCCACCTTGAGATCATGACCTGAGCAGAAATCAAAAACCAGATGCTTATGCAGCTGAGCCATCCAGGTGCCCCTGCCAGTCAGATTTTTAGATAAGGGGAACCTCTCGGAGTGATGACAAGTTAGGATTCAGACAGACACGTCTATAGGCAGAAGTTAAAGGTAAGGTTGTTTGAGAACTCGGATTGATGAGTACAGGAAAGTTCAGGGTTACAGAGTAGCCTGCTCCTGTCACAATTCTGTGTGCGCGTAGTAAGTGCTCATGATGTCAGGAGCCGGTAACGTGTCCTCAGTCAACTCCAGCGTAGTCCTGGCTGGGGTGGCGGACACAGATTGCGTAAGATCGGTTCGGTCCCCCGTGTCTGTCGGCGATCCTAGAGTGCTCCGTCCCATCATGGTGCTCAGGTGGGAAACGGGAGGCTCCCCGACAGACGGCGCGCCCATCTGCAAGAGGAGAACAAGAACCGGAGGACCAGAGCTGTGCCATGCGGGAAGAAGCTTAAGGGGCTGAGAAGACTCAGGGAAAACCGGACACCACTTTGGAAGAAGAAAGGGTTGTCCAGTGAGGGACGCGCTACTCCCCCCAGCCGGGCAGACCCGTGGCCAACGAGTAGACAACAAACTCAAGGCCAGTTTCTGGCTACTAGGTGTTTATTCTGTTCCCCAAATACTAAACTGCTTGACATGCAAGGCCAGGGCTGGAAGCTAGTCTAGTCAGGGGTCAGAAATCAGGCAACAGATGCGGGTGGTGCCATGAGAGAAGTACTGGGGCCCATCCCCACTACCCAGAGAGGAATGGTTAACCGTAACGGAGAGGAAGGCAGGCAGGGTCGCATGGAGAAGGTGACCCTGGGACCGGGCACTCACAAGGTGGCCAACAACCGTTGAGGTTTCACAAGCCCCAGATGCCAGTGGCTATTCCGAAGCGTCACTTCGATTATCTCGGTAGACCATCTAAGAACTACCAAGTACGTGCTTCTGTTTGCCCCACCTACAGACGGCGAAACCGAGGCACAGCGTTATTAAATGTTACCTGCCAAAAGTCACATGGCCAAGTGTGTGATTCTGATCCATTCTGACCCAAGGAGGTTGCACTTTGCCAGTTTTCTGTCTCGCCTCCCCAGTGCATTGGCCAGGCGGACGAGGGTGGGGTAGGGCACCCCGGAGCAAAGCATCTTTAAGAAAAGGCCATCGTGGAATAGGATCGCACTTTCACAGCGTATATTCAGGTTAAAGGTATTGGAATTTGTGGTTCACGAGGCTCTTGGCTAGAAGGAAGCTGGGAGGACGCGGGGGACCAGGTGGTGCGGGATCCTGCGGGCCCCTAACCCCTCTTCAGGGAACGGGTGACCACTCAAGCAGTTGCAGAGAAGTGACATGATCAGATTTGTGTTTTGGGAAGCAATCGTGATGTCTGTGCAAACATGCCAGCAGGGGTGCAGGTGAGAGAGCTGAGAGCCTGGGCCCCGTGGAGACCGGAGGTGGAGGGTGAAAGGTTGAGGGAGAGTCCGTGGGCCCGAGGGTGGACAGAGCGTGGTCCCGCAAGTGTGACAGCTGACAGGGGCTCCGCGTAGACCCCACTGCCCTTCCTCAGGCTCCGGATAGCAAAGCAGCCAAAGGTGACCGCTAACGACAATCCTACTGTTTGGGAGTTCCTCCGCTTCCGCCGCCGGGCTGGCCGGGGCAGGCCCACACTAGCATCCAGCAAAGACCCTCGCGTCCTTCTGTTTTGTTTTGGGGAAGTTTTATTTTTGTGGGGTTTTTTGTTTTGGGGGTTTGGGGTTTTTGTTTCTGAGTAGGCGAGAAAGGAGTGGCATTACTGTTATTTTCCTAAAAGTGCGCCTTCTCCTGGTCTTTCAGCCCCATCCGCCCTATGGCAGGTGTGCTGGCCGACTCGAGGGCCCGGGCGCCCTTGCTCCAAGTGCCCAGTTGCCCTGCGGGGGCCTGAGCACAGCTCCCGGGGAGGGGGAGCCGCGGTGGGCGGCGTCCCCTCGGATGCTCGGTCTCGGCGCTTGTAGGATGGACAACTGGTCCCTGCCTCACAGTTGTGGGTAGAATTAAAGATGACTTGGGCGAAGCGCTCCGCCCACCAGTAGCTGGGAGCTATGTTGGGCTCCTGTCCCTGACTCACTGGGTGAGGATGACTCAGTGCAGCTTCACAGATGCTGCTGCTAAATCGGGGTCTCCGAGAGCCCTCGGGAGGCGGCTCCGAGGAGGAGGAGGAGGAGGAGCTGCAGCCCGGCCCCCCGGGCCCTAGGAGCGCTAGGAGCGGGGCGCCTCCCTCCACCTGCTGCGCACAGGTTCTCCGGGCCGCCGCTGACCTGGCCTCACCCGACGCCCCGCCCGTCTCCTTATCCCAAGAACGCAGCCAGATTCCTCGCACTCTTGCCTTCGCCCTGCGCGGTGGAAAGCAGAGCCCCTAGAGGAGAGGGGCCTGGCGGAGCCCTGGGGGGCGCCTTCCTGCGGGAAGGGCGGCGCGGTCCCTGGGGAGGCCGGCCGCTGGGCGCCGGGGCTCCGAGCATCGCTGCCTGTGCCGGCCGCACCGGGCGGGGACCCCGGGGCTGGCCTGCGGGGCTCCCACACGGTACCTTGCCTCGCGGGACGACCCGGGTCTGCATGATCCCAGAAGGGGGACGGGTATTTCCCAGCACTGTCAGGGGGACAGAGGAGATGTGGCGGGGCCCTTGCTCCGGGTCCGTGATCGCAGATCTCCCCTGATCCATCCCCACCGCCGTGGCTGCCCGCCCCATCCCTGGCCCACCGAGCGCCCTAGGGAGAGGTGGGACACGGGCGGAGGGAGGCGGCCGGTGGGTGCCCCCTCACGTGACCCTGAGTAATGCTCTTTCCACTGAACCGCGAGGGAGAGGGTGGGCCAGCTGAGCGAGGATTCTGGAGGGTTCCAGTGGGTTCGGCCCTCGAGGAGGCCCAGCCCAGGGGTGGCTGCAGACCAGGAGGGGGTGGGTAGGGTGCCCCTGGCTGTGGCTCAGAGGGACCGGCGCCCCCCCTCCCCCCGCTTCCATCCTGGCCCTGCCGGGCGACTGGGGGCAAAGCCACTTGCGTTGTCTGTGCCTCCATTTGCTCTGCATCCCGGGGGCATCCTGGGGGTTAAAGCAAGATCAGTGAGCGGCCAGGGCCGAGGCAGCGCTCACCGCGCGCTCTGGTCCCTGCAGAGCTGGTCACTCCGCCGAGGCCCTGTGTCCCTGCGCGGGCGGCGGTTCCCACCTGTGCAGTGAGCAGGGACGCTGGGCTGAAGACAGGGACCCCAGGTGGAAGGGACCCGCGGCGGCCTTGGGCGGCAGCCTCCCAGGAGAGGGAGCGGGGAGCACGGGGAGGGCCGTAAACAGAACCGGCTTCCTTCCTTACCCTCAGATCTCAAAATAGCACTGTCTGCCCCCACCCTGGCCAGCTGGCAGGGGTGCAGTCTGAGCAAGGTGCCATTTAAAGCCAACCTGGCCCTCCCTGTCTGCCCCACTGACTGGACCGGGCTCCCGAAGCCAGGCCCCGGCTGCCCCCAGGGCAGGCTGTTCCCAGATGCCACCCAGAGCAGCGGGGCTAACCCCTCCTTCCCTGGGGCCCAGGCTGCCCCTCGCCTCCGCAAAGAACCAGAGGCCTGGCGTCCTGCAAAGGCGTAGCTAGAAGAGTGCTCCTTCCTACCAGGAGCGGGGGGGGCAGTGAGGCTGCTCCCTGCAGGCCCGCACCCACCCCGGGCCCCTCCTGCCCACAGGACAAACTCCAGGGTCACCGCCTTTAGTTTGCACTAAAGAAAGAATAAAGCTAGACATCAGGGAAGACCTTAGGTCGCAGGAAAGGCGTCTGTGTATTTGGGGACGGTGGGGGCCAGGAGATGGGGCTCCTTTCGTCCCCAGCTAAGCCATGAGACCTCGGCCACGTTTCTGGCACTCTCCTGGGCCTGGGGCTCCCCAGCTCTGGGTTGCAAGGAAGAGTCCCTGTGTCTCTGACACCCTGGAGTGGGTGTGATGAGATTAAATCAGAAGGAGGAAAGGGCTCAGGGTCCTTGGGTAAGAAAGGAACGCATAATTACCCATCTGCAGGAGGTGCCAGAGGACTGCTCGGAGGAGGAGGGCTGGAGGGTGCACCCTCTCCTGAAGGAAGCATGGAGGCAAGCAGGGGAGAGGAACGGAGCTCCCCTGCCTCACAGTGGCCCAGAACCCCTGAGCCGGACACCTGGGTGGGGCAGGAGCCGCTGCAACGGAGGCTCCAGGGCCCTGTCCTGGGAAGGCAGGAAGGCCTGGGAGAGCCCGGGCCCTGCTCCGGGCCCTGCTCCGTGGGCTGCAAGAGGGGGGTTGGGAGGAGCCCTGGGCTGGTCACTCAGCCCAGGGAGAGATGACTCAGCAGCGCTTGCCTGGGTACCACAGCCCCCGGCAAAGCCCAAACTGGGTCACAGGCCCGGTCCTGGCCGCCCCCACCCCCGGCCGGCTCGCGGTGGCCTCCCCCACTCTAGTTGTGCCGCCCCCCCCCCAGTCTCCTGCCCGGGAAGGGCTGGGCAGCAGGGTTCCGAGTACGTGCTCTGTGTGCCAAGCCCGGCGCCGCCGAGCACTTGAGACCTGTCCCCGCAGACGCAGGCGGCGACTCAGGGGCCTGGATTTGAAGTCGCACAAGCCCACCCTCAACCCCACCTGCGTGAAACGGGGAGAATTCTCTTCCAGCCTCTGTACAACGGGGCGGACTCATTTGCAGCGTTGGCCGCCGGCAGCATCAGCGTCGTATTCCAGGCGGGGAGAGCCCGCTCCTGGCAAAGTTGGCAGTTGTCTCCTCTGATCACAGATTAATTACGGTGCCTCCCCTTTTCCAGGAAAGCCTCTGCCCCTCACTGGGGCCCGGGAGGAGGCTCCTGGGTGCCCGGAGAGGACGAGGTCCCGGGAGCCCCGGCCAGCCTCAGCCGCTCCCCAATCCCACGCAGCCCCTTCCCACCCCGCCCAGGTCCACGGCCTCGGCCCCCCAGGCGGCGCCAGCCCTGCCAGTCCTCCCCAGGCCGCCCTCCCGCCCGGCCCCTGCGCAACACTGAGGGCCGCACGTTTTCCTAGAGGTTTCCGGTTAAAGGCTCCCCGCCGCCGACGCGGGCTAGGTGGGCGGCCCCTGCAGGCCTCACCGGGGCCAGGTTGGAGGAGGACCAGCTGGGAAATAAAGGGAAGAAGCAGGAAAGCAGCTAGAAAAGGAGGCGTTTCGGGAAGCACGGGGCCTGGGCTTGGGCTTGTTTGACGAGGGAAGACTTGGGGTTTCGTTTTGGGTGGGAAACAAGCTGGTAAGAAAGAAACGAAGGGCACTGAAGAGATGACGCAGAGATCACACGCGGTCTCGAGTACCCGGGGGAGCATCAGCCTTGGCCAGGAAGGGACGACCCTGCCTCTGAAAGTCCCTCAGCCCACACGGGTTACGTCCCGCAAGGCCCGGTGACAGTGTGGACGCAGCGGCCACGGAGCTTGTGCCTAGGAGGGCGTGGACGGGACCGGCACGCGTGCAGGCTGGTGGACACAGGTTGTGCCCGCGCCTCTGCTGCTGCACCTGGGCCGGTCCTGTGCCCGCACCTGCCATCACGTGCCTGCCTACCCCAGCTCCGGGCCGGGGTGCCAGCGCCCAGGGGCCCAGGCCGTCCTCTTCCCGCTGCGCTTCCCTAACTTACTGACATTCTGCCGGGCCTGCCCTGCACTGTCTGGTTCCGTTCCTGGGACACAGAGACTCACTGTCCACACCCCTGCTCTTGGGGAAGGGGATCCGCCTGGATGACTGGAGCCCCCCATCCCCTGGTGGCAGTATCTGGGGCCAGGCCTACGCTCCTGTGAGCCCTGGCCTCCCCGCCAGTCAACAGGGTTGATGAGGACAGGACACCTGTCTGCTCTGCTGCCCGCGGGCTGCAGGGACCTTCCATGGGTAAACGTCCAAGTGCCCTGGCAAGGGTGGCACCGCCGCCAGGCCTTGACTGAGCCCTTGACTTTGTCCGTGGGGTGGCAGGCGGTCCCCGGCCAGCGCCCCCAGGTAGCTGACAGCACACATTTGCAGGGGGACTGACTGCCCCCAACGTGGTCTCCACCGTGTAGCTCCTGTGCCCCGCCCTTGGGCCAGGGCGGGATCCGCAGGGTCAGCCCTGAAGGAAGGGGACCCGATGGGCGTCCGGCCCGCGGCTCGGGGTGGCCCCAGCCTGTCGTGGGGCGATGAGGCCACGGGCTGGTGCCCGCCGGCGCTGTCCACTGCGGGGGGGGGGGGGGGGGGACGGGAGCCGGGGCAGCTGGCAGGTCCGGGCCTGCGGGCACCGCGGACAAAGCGGCTCTCAGCCGCCTCTCAATGGGGGCCTGTGTTCTGGGTGGGGGCGGGGTGCCCTCGGCCTCTTGCCCCCCCTCGCCCCCGCCGGACGTCCTGGGCGGGACCCTGGGGCGGGGGAGGTCCTGCCCCTCTAGGGCGCCAGGCGGGGACGGGGATCGGGGTTCCTGGGCGGCCGCGGGCTGGGTCCCGGCGGGGGAGGGGAGGGGAGGGGGGAGGGGCGAGGCGAGGGGGAGGGGGCGGGCGGGGGGAGGGAGGGGGAGCGGAGGGGCGGGGCGTGCGCGGGGGGCGGGGCTGCGGCGGCCCCGGCCGTGGTCCCGCCCCGCGGGAGGCGGGAGAGGAAGGCGCGGCGGGCGGCGGGCTGGGCCCCGCGGCTGCTCCCGCCGGCTGCGTCCTGCGCTCCGGGCTCCGGCGGGGCCGACCGCGCCCAGGCCCGGCCATGCGGCCCCCGGGGCTCTGCGGGGCGGCTCGGCTGGCGGCGGCCGCGGTGCTGGTGCTGGGGGCGCCGCTGGGTAAGCGGGGGGGGGGGGGGGGAGGGGGAGGGGCGGGGGCGGGGGCGCGGGGGCCGCGGGGGGGGGCGGGGGGGCGGGGCGGGGGGCGTCCCCGCGGCCCAGCGTCCCCCGTGCCCGCAGCGCTGGCGGCCGAGGACTGCCTGTGGTACCTGGACCGCAACGGCTCGTGGCATCCGGGCTTCGGCTGCGAGTTCTTCACCTTCTGCTGCGGGACCTGCTACCAGCGCTACTGCTGCCGCGACCTGACCTTGCTCATCACCGAGAGGCAGCAGAAGCACTGCCTGGCCTTCAGGTGCGCCGCGCCCCGCCCCGCCCCCGCGCCCCGCCCCGCCCCGCGCCCCTCCCCTGCGCCCCCCGCCCCCCGCCCCCCGCGCCCCGCCCCTCCCCTGCGCCCCCCGCGCCCCCCGCCCCGCAGCCCTGCATGAGGCTGGGCCTCCCCGTCCCCTCGGCCGCCCTGCCCCCGCCCCCCCCCCCCCCCGCCCGCCGCGCCGCTCGCAGCTCAGGACCCGGAGGCCGCGGCTGCAGGTGCCTCCCGAGGGGCCGCGGTGCTCGGGCTCCGAGGCGAACCCGGGAAGTCGCAGGCCGGGAGCGCGGGCTTCTGGGAAGTGTCCCCTAAGCTGCCCCCCCTCCCGGGCCTGGGCACGCCCCGGGGACCCAGACTCAGCCCGCTCGGCCCCCTGCCGGCCGGAGGCGGAGCACAGGCCCGTGGTCACCGCCGCCGACCCCTTCCTGCGACTGTCACAAGGTGACGGGCCTGTTCTCTGTGCCTCAAGTCCCAAGACCATAGCCGGCATCGCCTCGGCCGTGATCCTCTTCGTGGCGGTGGTGGCCACCACCATCTGCTGCTTCCTGTGCTCCTGCTGCTACCTGTACCGCCGGCGCCAGCACCTGCAGAGCCCGTTTGAAGGTGCGTGCGTGCGGCGCGGCGGGGCCAGGTGGGGCTGGGCTGCACCCCGGGGGGGGGGGGGCCGCCGGAGGGCTCGGGGACGCGGCCCGGTGCGGACACACACCCGCCAGCCTGTGACCCCAGAGATCACATGTGAATGTTCGGCTGCGCCCCGCAGGCCCTCCGTCGACCTGGCATGCGTGCAGCGGGTACGTGCACGCGTGTGACTCTTGGCCAGGGCACGAGGGGGCCTGCCGCCAGCACGAACCACGTGTACTGTAGAGCACGATGCAACGGGCACCTGCGTGGTGGCTGTGACCGCACACGCGCCCACACACCATGGGCGTGGGGGCGGGGTGACACTGCCTGGGCATCGGTGCGGGAGGGGCAGGCTGGGTCCCCCCCACCCAGTGGCAGCTCTGCAGATTAGGGCACCAGGCCCCAAGCTGGCCTGTCCTTGCCCAAGTGGGACGTTCCCCGGGCTGTGTTCTCTGGCTCATGCGGCCTCTGAAACCTGCTGAGGGGAGCAAACCTGCACTGCCTGGCCACGGGGCCATGTGCACGGCTCCCCGCCCGCCCGGCTGCCAGCGGGCTCTGGGGGCAGAGGCGGGGAGGGGGCGGGGGCAACCTGGAGCCTGCCCATGCTGGGCCCCGGGGCCTTACCTTGGTTTCCCACGGAGCTGCAGTTTTAAATGCACATCCTTTCCCCCCCGCTAGGCCAGGAGATCCCAATGACAGGCATCCCAGTACAGCCAGTGTACCCATACCCCCAGGACCCCAAAGCTGGCCCCGCGCCCCCACAGCCTGGCTACGTGTACCCTCCTAGTGGTCCTGCTCCCCAGTATCCACTCTACCCGGCTGGGCCCCCTATCTACAACCCTGCAGGTAAGTGAGTGATCCGGAGCCTCCTACCTGCCCCATACCTCTGTGCTGGGACCCCCCTGCCCCTCGCTCACCCTGACTCCCCTCCCAGACATCTGCCTCAGCTGGAACCCTCCAGGCTACTCTTCCCCGTGGGTGCTTCCCCGTGGGCCTTCAGAATTGGGGATCCCTTCACATCCTCCTGTGCCACCCCTGACCCTCACCCTGTCTCCTTGGTTTGCAGCTCCTCCCCCCTACATGCCACCACAGCCCTCCTACCCGGGAGCCTGAGGAACCAGCTGTCTCTGCTGCCCCTTCGGCGATGCCCCCTCTCCTGTATCTGCACCTGGCCCTGGGGGGGGCAAGGCTCCTCTACTCAGCAGGCCGCAGCCCAAGCCAAGCCCTGGGTCCTCGGGGCGATGGAGCGCCACCCAGGGTAGTAGACCAGGAGCTGAGCTGGACCTTGGCCGCAAAGGAGGGGCGGGTGGGGAGGGCTTGGGATCCGTGGACTGTTTTTACCTGGGCCTAGAGAAGGACACGAAAGCCTGGGTCAAGGCCCCTGCTGTCTCGGAGTCCCTCTAGGTCCCGGGTCCCAGCCAGGCGCTCTGGGCCTGTCCTGCTTGCTCGCCGCGGGCTGGAGCGGGCCGGGCAGTGGGCTCCCTGGGCGGTGGGCGCAAGCCCTCTCCCGGCTGCCCCTGGCCGGAGCCCCGACCTCTGGATTAAAGCTGTCAAGCTGTAGTCATGTCGTCGCCTCATTGGGCCCGTCCTCGCCTTCCAGGAGCTCTGCCTGCAGCTGGGCCCTGGGTCCTGCCTGGGCCACATCCTGGAGCCCAGCACTGTCCTCGCCCCTTCCGCACCGAGCAAGCAGCCCAGGCTCAGGGCTCCCGGAGGGGTTCCCGGAGTCCGCGAGGTGCATTTCGCCACAGCTGGAAGGAGGGTGCCCATCCGCCCTACAGAGACACACCCCCCCCACCCCCACCCCTGGCTAGGGGTCTGGCCCCGTGACATAGAAGCCACTGCAAACCGTGCACAGGCACCTTCCCCTCCTCGGGTACGCGTGGCTTCCTATGTGGGTGCCACCTCTGGGTGTGTGACCCTGGGGGTGTCTCTGAACCCGGTTTCCTCAGTATCCCCGGAGACAGTGCCTCGGGGCTGTAGTGAGGGTGAACCCTGTACATGGGACTGTGACCCCCCTGCCCTCCCTTCCTGATGACGGGGGCTCTAGGAGCCAAGTGGAGACACCGGGCCACTCGAGGCTGATGCAGGGGCTCCCGTCAGTCCCCTTGGGTCACCAGGGGACCCGAAGACATTAGCCGTCGTCGTTGTTGTCCCCAGGACGCCCATGCACCTCTCTACGCTCAGCCCTTGCCTTGTTCCCTGAGAACCTGGGTCCTTGTGCTCTCAGGACTTGTGTGGCGGGCGACAGAGCTAGAGAAGGAGGTTTTTTTTTTTTTTTTTTTTTTTTTTTTTTTTTAAAGATTTATTTATTTATTCATTCAGAGAGAGCGAAGAGAGAGGCAGAGACACAGGCAGAGGGAGAAGCAGGCTCCATGCAGGGAGCCCGATATGGGACTCGATCCTGGGTCTCCAAGATCACACCCCAGGCTGCAGGCGGCGCTAAACCGCTGCGCCACTGGGGCTGCCCGAGAAGGAGGTTTTATAGTTTTTAATTCAAGTGGGAAAAGTGCCAGTGCGGCTTGGCAACAGCAGCACCCACCACCCAGCACCCATATGCTCGCCCCGCCCGCCTTGTGTTCCAGCGGGGTGCTCACTGCGCCCTCCAGCGCCCACCTAGGGTGGGGGGGGGGTGTCGCTCCGGGCCAGCAGCAGCAACAGCCCAGCTCCCTCCCTTCGCAGTGAAATTTTCGGGGGTCCCAATGCCTCCGGACCAAGCGGAGGAGGGGAACCTAATGCTGGGGGGACGAACTGGGGTCACAGCTGCTCATCCACCTTCTCGCTGAGGCGGGGACACACTTTAGGAGACAGGTCACCAGGTCAACCCCAGGTTGGAGACCCCCGGCTCTCCTCCCTCTCTCCCCTGCGGCTGGGGGGCCCAGGAGATTGGGGACAAGGTTCCTGAGTTTTCCTATGAAAAGAGGCATTAAGTGGATGCGCGCAGGTCAGAATTAATTATCCTCAAATCCGCAATCTGCCGATTAGAAATTGCTCTGTGGCCTGGGGCGGAAGGCGGGCTTATCCCAGTCCTAGCGCCTCCCCTCCCGGTGGGATGGAGTGTCCCCTCCGCAGCAGCGCCTGTCACCTAACTCCACAAAGCACCGAGAATCCTAAGGAAGAGGGGGAGACCATGACGGAGCGGGCTTTGCTCGCCCTGAGAGGCCCGCTCACCTCCCGAGCTCTAAACAGGGCAGGTCCCCCCCCACCTCTCCCTGAGCTTCCTTCCAGGACCCCCCCACCCCCCCCACCCCACCCACCCCACCCCACCCCCCGCCAGCCCGGGCGGGGGGGCAGCCGGAGCAGAGTGGCAGCTGCCCCCCATCCTCCTGCTCGGCAGCTAGCAGCCCTGAAACCAGGCGGGCGCCCTACAAGGGTTGGGGAGCACCGACTCAAGGATTGGGGTGTCCAGTGGGGCCCTGCCCAGTGGCCAGGGTGCGCGAGGACCCTCACGGGAGGTCTGGGAGGCACTGTCGGGGGGCACTCAGCACGCAGCACTCCGCACTAGAGCAAGTACCTCTTTCTTGGGCTTAGGCACCTGCTCAGGCCGGGAGGGGGAGGCTGAGGTCCTCGGGACCGGAGAGCTAGGGCAGGGGTGAGTGAGAACACAGAGGGACGGGGAGGGGGCGGGGAACAGCGGCCCGGAAAGCTGACCCTCCGGGCAAGGGGGCGAGGGAGGGAGAACCGAGGGGTGGTCGGAGCCGAGAGGTGCTCTGGCCTGGCCTGTGCGGGGCAGGGGAGGGGGAGGGGGGCCCTGACCCGCCCTCCCAGGCCCCCAGCCCGCCCTCCGCGGGCCCTAAGCGGCAGCGGGGCTCAGGCTGCAGACCCTGCAGGGGGGGGGGAGCGGGGGCTGCGAGCCAGGAGCCTGGGCCCGGGTCTCACGCGTCCCGGGAGTGGCCGTGGTCCCGACCGGACCCAGCTCCTCGCTCACTGGCTTGTTGGGCTGCGGCAGGATGTGGGGGCCCCCAGCAGCCCCGGCGCATCCCGCCTCGGGTCCCCCCAGGCCGGCGGGGAGGGGGCGGGGGGGGGGACGGCGCGACGGGGCGTCGGTGCGAAGATGCCCTGAGCTGGGGGGGCGGGAGACCCGGGGGCGGCGCGGGGGGTGCGGGGGGGCAGGTGTGGGGAGCCCCGCCCAGGTCGCGGGGATGCAGCGGCGGCGAGAGACCTGGTTCCAACACGGAGATGCACCGACTCCTTGAACACCCCCCTCCCGGCAGTCCAGCCCGCCCGCCCCCTCCCCGGCAGGGCCCCCCCCTCCCCCTGTCCCCCCGCCCCTCCTGGGACTCCCGTCCACCCCCCTCCCTGGCCCAGGGACACCCCCGTTCCCTCCGCCCCTCCCGTCTGCCCCCCCCACCCCGCAGTCCCGCCCCCCTCCCCCGCCCCTACCGTCCGCCCCCTCCCCGGGCAGGCCCCCCCCTCGCTCCCCCTGCCCCTCCCGGGACTCCCATCCGCCCCCCTCCCCGGCGGGGCCCCCCTTCCACTACCCCCCGTCCCCCCACCCCCCCCCCGCCTCCTTCACCCTCCCCCCCGCCCCCCTCCCCTCCCGTCCTCCCCCCGCCCCCCTCGGGACTCCCGTCCGCCCCCGCAGTCCCGCCCCCTCCCCTCCCCTCTCGTCCCCTCCCCTCCCCTCCCCTCCCCCCCCCCCCCCGCCGCCCCGGCCGCGGCCTGCCTGCAGGTGGCGCCGCGCTCCCGCATCCCGCATCCCGCGTCCCGCCGCCGCCGAGGCCGGAGGAGCTGGGCCGCCCGCCGCGGGGAAGGGGGAGGATCTGGCCCGGCCGAACCTCGCCGGCGGGCGGGGAAGGACCCCCTACGGGACGGTCCCCGCTGGAAGCCCACGTTGTGCAGCTGGTCGGTTGGGTTTGCTCAGGCCCCGGCTCGCGGCCGCCCGCAGGGTCCGTCCAGGGCGGGAGCAGGAGCAGGAGCAGGAGCAGGAGCAGGGGACCCGCCCGGCTTAGAGCTGCGGCCCCGCGAGGTCAGGCCCCCGGGCTGCTCGTCATCGCAAGGTGGGGATGACATTGGTGTCCCCGTCCCAGAGCTGAAGGAGCACCTGAGGCAACCCCGGCCCCTACGGCCCAGCCTCCGCAGCAGGCCGCACCCCGCCGCACCCCGCCGCACCCCGCCGCACCCTGTGCACACCCGCCGCCCCATCCCGGCCCAGCCCTCTGCGGATGTGGGGCAGGGGGCAGGTGGGAAGGGGGAGGGGCCGGGGTGGACCCTGGGGTCGGAGCTGTTTGCTCCCATGACTAGCCTCCCTCTGTGTGCTCAGACCTGGCACAGCACCTCCTTCACAGTAGGGGCTCCCCCTCCGCCACCCCGAAGATGGAGATGGAGACTGCTGTGCTCCCTGCCATCCAGACGTAACCCAGAGACGGAGAAAACTGCCAGGGACCCAGGCCCAGCGGGGCAGTTCCGCGGTGCCAAGGGGTGCCAGCGCCTTGAAGCCGGTCAAACCAGCGCGGTGCTTTTGAGGTGTGCCTGAGGGAGGGCGTGGGGGGCACGGCAGGTCAGGAGAGCAGCCTGCAGCCAGCGCAGGGGCGAGACGGGTGGCGGGTGCACCAGCTGCTCCCCCAATGGTCATTCGCTTCCCTGCCTGCTCACAGACGGCTGCCTTCCTGGGCTTGTGACCGCTGTGGGGAGCTGGCCCCAAGCCCACACTTAGGAAGACTCGTGGAATGAGCATCCCCTGAACATGCCTAATATAGGCATCCCAGGGCCCCGTGCTCCACTCTGCCCGTCACCCCGGAAAGCAGCTCTGGCTCATGGCTCCGGGCAGCAGGGATGGTCAGGAGCGGACCCTGGCCGAGGCCCGGCTTCCGGGTCGGTGGGGAGCCCTCTCCCCAGGCTTGAGGCTTTCCCGCTCCCCGGACTTTCCACGGCTGTGAACCCGTCCTGGGGCCAACTCGGGACGGCATGTCCGGGGGCTCCTGGAGTCCTGCACGGGCCCCGGGGCGAGCATCAGGAGCGGAGCACCGTACAGAGATGGGGCACAGCCGTTCACGACTAAAGGCTTGTATATATTATCAAAATCTGATGGAAAAACAGATACACAGCTATTTGTACAACAGCAGGTGGGTGTGAGGGAAATGTCTGCTTTGGCATCAAACCTTCAGGGCCAGCTGCCGTCTCTCCCCCTCCTCGGGCCGGGGCCCAGTCCCCCCAGGCCAGCTGCCCCGCGTGGCGTCTGCTGAGCCCGGGGGGTGGGAGGGTATCCTCAGCCCCTCTTCCTTCTGCCCGTGGGCCCTCGTGCGCTCTCATCCTCCCCGTGGCGTCGCACACAGAGGGCCACGGGGCCCAGCAGCTTTGCCCCAAGGGCTCCTCAGAGGCCTGGATCCCGGCCCTGGAGGGCAGCGGGGCTGGGCTGCTTACGCGGTCCTGGCGGGACGTCTTCCTGGGCCGCGGGCCGCGGGCCTTTTGCAACTTGCCGGCTGCTCGGGCCCCAGGCAGGCCATCTTCTCAGTGACACGCTAAAAGGACTCTTCTTGTCCAGAAAGCTCAGCTCCGGGTAAAAAAAGACATTTTTGGAGAGCCCCAGAGACAAGAAAAGGGAAGTGAGAAGAGAGAAGGCATCCTTCCTTGAGCGTGGCCGGGCCTCGTGCTCTCCCGTGGCAGAGTAGGGGCATCCACAGCAGGTCAGCCAGGGGTGGGGCGGGTGGGGTCTGTGCGGCCCTGCGAGGCGAGGCCGGGCAGCCTTGGCGTTGGCAGACGGTGCCCCCTGGCAGTCTGGTCCTACTGAAGCAGTTTGGGCACCTCCACCTGTAAGGGCAGGACAGAGGCGGTTCAGAGAGGGGCTCAGCGGGGGAGCCTATGGGCTTCACTGCCCCCCGCCCCCAACCCGGCCTTCTGGAAACCAGACGTGGAATGAATAAAGGAGGCTCGGGCCGGACCAGGCCCCTCGCTCGGCTGGAGAACTGGAGGCATCAGGTGACCGCTGCAGTTCTACTACAGGTGTCCTCCATCCCGTGGTGTCTGGCCCCCGGCGGTGTCGCGGGGCAGGGTTAGCCGCCCCGGCCGGTCCAGGGGCAGGAGACTGGCCTCTGCCACCCGAGGTGGGGGAGCAAGGTGTCTAGGGGTGGCTCGTGGGGCCCCGGCGCTGAGCCGTCCCAGGGGAGGCCGTCTTGGGGGGGGGAGCCTCCCGGAGACCTTGGGATACACGGGTCTGTGGGGTGTGCCGGTCCTGAGAGGGAACTGGTCAAAGGGAGGTCGTTTTTGCTTTGGGGACAGGGGGTGGGGTGGTGGCAGGGCCAGATGCAGTGGGGGGGGGGGGCAGGGCCCGGGCGCATCCCCGACGTGCAGGCTATTTCTCCGTGTCTGGGAGAAACTGGCTCAGCGGCAGGTGGAGAAGGGGGAGGCTGCGGGAGGGGGGGTTACAGGGAGCCCTTCCAGGGAGCAGACGGGGCTGGGGGGTGACCCGGGCCCCCCCACGGCCCCCCCACCCCCCCGCGACTACTTAACTTCTTGAGCTGCTTCAGGTTGCTGGAGCGGATGGCGGCCAGGAGCTGGTCGCGGGAGTTCTTCTCCTGGCCGGGCAGGGCCCTGTCGCCCATCTTCCTCTGGGTGGCCGGCGACAGCGAGTTCCTCAGGGTGTCGGGGAGGAGGGGCGGGGCCAGGGGCGGCGGGGGCGGCGGCGGGGCGGCGGGGGCGCCCCCGGTCTGGGGCGAGTTCTTGGGCGAGGCCTTGGGGGACGGCTGCGGGGAGGGTTTGGGGGAGCCCTTGGCCGGGCCGGCGCGCGGGGGCACCCCCAGCAGATCCTTCTTGCCGCCGCCGCCACCGCCGGCCTCCTGCGCCTGCCGCTGCTCCTGGAGCCGCCGCTGCCGCTGCCTGTCCATGTTGCGGCTGAGCAGGTTGGTGACGGTCATCCGGGGCCCGGCCAGCTCGAAGTGGTAGCCCAGCTTGAGCAGCGTGGTGTTCTCCTTGAGCAGCTTGGCGATCTCCATCTCGGTCTTGCCGCCGCAGATGTGCCGCTGGTTGTGGAAGCGCAGCTCGGTGAGCGTGTCGTTCTGCAGGAGGGCCCGGAAGATGGCCAGGATGCCCTTGCCCGTGATGTGGTTCGAGTCCAGGTTCAGGCTGGTGATGGTCTTGTTGGCCTTGAGCATGATGGCGATGGCGAAGGCCACGTGGTCGTCGGCGCGCGTGTTGGCCAGGGCGAACACCTTGACCGCCGTGTTGAACTCCAGCGCCTCGGCGAACCGGACCAGGATCTCGTTAGTGATGCAGTCCGAGTTGTTGACGTTCACCTCGGTCATCTCGGGGTCGTTGTTCTTCACTCTCTCCAGGGGCTCGTCAAATATGCTGGGAGCCGCGTCCTCGTCCTTGGCGGGCCCTTCCGAGGCCGTCGGGGGTGCCGCCGGGCCCGGTTTGTCCGCGGCGGCGGGGCTCGGGCTCTGCTCCCCGGGCCCCTCGGCGCGGACGGGCTCCTTCTTCGCCTTCTCTTCCTGCCTCTTGGCGTCTCCTCTTCTCATCCCCTCGTCCTCCGTCCTGGTGTCTGCGCGCCGCCTCTCCCCCTCTCCCTTCTTGTCGCCCTCGCCCGGGCCCGGCTCCTTGTCCTCTCCCTTCCTGGCCCTGGCCCTGGCCGGCCCTGCGCTGCGGTCACTGGCCCTCTTCTCATCCTCCCTCTTGGGGGCCGCTGCCCTGTCCTCTGCCTGCCCGTCCTTCGCGGCCTCCTTCCTGTCCACGGCGGCCCGGACCCGGCCCCGGTCGATCCCCCGGATGAGCTTCTCCTCCTTGGGCTTGTCTCCACCTTTGCCATCGGCTTCGTCCTTGTCTCTCGAGAAGCTCTTCTTTAAACCACCCCTCTTTGGCTCCTTCCCCAGGTCCGCGTCCCGTCTGGAGCCCAGGGGTTTTTTGCTGGCATCTCTGCCCCTTTCCTCTCCGTTCTTGGCATCTGCCTTGGTCTCCGCTTGCTTGCTTTCCTAAGAATTCAGAAAAGAAAAATAAACATGAAGAGCTGGCTACGGAGGGAGAGGAGTGAGCATGGGGACAAGTGCGGGGAGCATTTGCACCACTGCCCCGGAGCCTCCGAAGGGCGACGTCTGCTGCGAACGCCTGGGAGGCCCGGACTTCGAGCTGCGGGGGGCAGGCTGACCTCAGGGTCGTGGGGGCAAAGGACCCCTGAGGAGGTGGCGACGGTTCCTTCCCCGGGGGGCCCTGTGACCCAGAGCTGCCCTTTTCTGTCGGGGAAAGCTTCCAAGGGGCACCTTGCTGAGCCACAGTGGAACCCGAGGCAAAAGGAGAAATCACTAATACTGCCCCTGTCTTTATTTGAAATTTTGAATCTTGGGTTGTCATGGATTTCTTCTTCTTCTTTTTTTTTTTTGGCATTAAATTCCATTTTTAAAAATATCAGTCATCTCGATCACCAAGCTCTACGGTGGCGCCGCACATTCTACGCGCTAGGCCAGTGCCTCACATGCCTCCCCTCGTGCTGGCCCCGCTTCCAAAGAGGAGGTGGGTCAGTGGTCCTCAGATGCTGGAATTTTACAGCGGACACCTTTTCAAAGGAATTAAAAAAAAAAAAAAAAGTTGGCAGGGCCAACATAAGGCTGCCCACGTTTTATCTTACCAGTTGAAGATACTTCTGTGTAAGGTCAACATAGCAGGATAAAGGACGTACCTTGACATCAAAACATCAAATAGGTGTAGCTTTTTTGAAACGCCCCCTTTTTTTTAGTAAAGACTTGGGTAAGGACCAGTGCGTCTCCGGGGGGAGCCCCGGAGTCCACTGAGTGAGCTGACCTCAGGAGGGAGGACTAGGATTCTGTGACCACACACCGAGCGACACTCCGAGGCCTGGAAGGCAGTCGCCGCCGACACACGAGACAGGCTTGACTTTCACATGCGACGTGGGCCACCCGCCACCTCCCTGGGGCCCTGTTCCTTCCTCCACGACGTTGCAGAAAGTCTGAGCCTTGTTTTCCTGCTCCCATCGGAGGAGCCGAAGAAGCATCAGGATCGCCTAAGATCCCGTATGGAACTGTCCAACTACGAAAGACACCCCTGAGCACCTGGGACCCCAAGCAGGGTCCGTCCCTAAAGGTTTTTGAGTTTGTTTGTTTTTTTTTTTAATTTTTATTTATTTATGATAGTCACACACACACACACAGAGAGAGGCAGAGACATAGGCAGAGGGAGAAGCAGGCTCCATGCACCGGGAGCCCGACGTGGGATTCGATCCCGGGTCTCCAGGATCAGGCCCTGGGCCAAAGGCAGGTGCTAAACCGCTGAGCCACCCAGGGATCCCCTTGTGTTTGGTTTTTAAGAGGAAGAGACAAGGGCCTGATTATTAGGTTTTCTCTCTTTCAGGAGTGCCTGGCTGGGGTGTGGGAAGAGGAAGAGGAGGAGGAGGAGGAAGGAAAAGGAGAGACAGGATGGAGAGCCGGTTGGTTCTATGGAAACAGTTTGTACCTGTACTACAAACACATGCCATTGGGGACCAGCCCCGGGGTTTATTTAGCAGCAAAAGTCCTTGGCTCCTCTGCTAGAATCACAACAGGCAGCCAAGGGGCACAGGGCCTGGTGAGGCAGGGCCGAGGAATGTGCCCCTTCCCTCCTCCTGCCCCACGGGGGCAGTTTGCACCGGGGGCCTCTCTGGGGTTTTCTGTGCAAAAGGGCGGAGGATGCCCTCTCGTGCTTTCTCTGCCCCCCAGAGGCCTGGGTGGACTCTTCAGACCATCCTTGCAGTGACGGTGACCTTACTGCCCCGTGGTTGGAAAGGAAGCAGACGCTTGCAGTGTGCAAATGGACGAAGGACCACGAGTGAGGAAATGCAAGGGTCGCCCCTTTAGGACGCTCCTGACTACCACGACGACGTCTGCCCACTGCTCAGCCGGGAAATTCCGGCCCACCCCACCCCGGCTCACAGTGGGTTCATCTCCCATTCCATCCACTTGGGGAGCGTGGAGGTGAAAGGTGGGTGCCACCGCCCTCGGCCAGGTCAGCCCAAGCTCCAGTGGGCAGGCCCCCCAGGTGGGGCTGCTGCCTCCCCTCCCCAGTGAGCGCCCCTGCGGATCTCTCAGCCCAGCTGCCCTTCGCACAGCTCCCACGCCGCCGCCCACCGGCCGCGCCCACAGGGAGCCTGGGAAGCCCGACCGATGCTAACCTAACCAGCCGGTTCAGGAAAGCCTGGGTTTGGGGTCTGACCTCCTCGCCCGTAGAGGCGGAGGCGCTCCTCTCCACCTGCCCAGGCACCTCCAGGTGCCCGCCCCCCTGCTGCCCCCAGGACCTTGCTCGGCAGCTGCCTCCTCTCCCAGCGAACCCATCCCAGTCCAGACCAGCGCTCCCATTCAGAACCGTCCCCTGTTCTCCCATCGCGACTCCTTTTCCAACATTTTAACCCTCACTTGCCCTGACACCCTAGATTCGGGCCTACCCCCTGGTCGTCCTCCAGGACGGGTCCCTACTCCCCCTCGGGCACTCCCCCTACACTGGGGTCCTAGCTGGCTGGCATCTGTCGTGTGTCCGTCCGAGGAGGTGTTGCAGCCCTTTAAAAAGAACCTAATGAAAAACAGGCGGGGCGGGGGCGGGGGAGCTGATTAATCATGGGTTTCCTCCAAATAGCCAGGAATGAGTGGGGCTGGGGCTTGTTGCAGCTCGTGCAGCCCCGAGAGCTCAGATGTTGCCTTAAAAGGAGAAGGAGCCCAGCGTCCTCCCAGGGCTGGGATTTCTGGTGAGCGAGCTCCTCAGCACATAGCAGAGCTGCCTCCTTCTTGCTTATCTGAAAGGGAGTCCAAGCCAACTTCTTTTGCTTCTAGAACTGGGGGTGCATCCTGGCGACCTCCGGAGGTTATTTTTGCTTGTCTTCCTGTCTCTAGGCCTCACTCCGCTGTTCATCCCTTATAGCAAGAGGGGTTCAGGTCAGATAGAAGGAAGAACTTCCATAGAGCAAAGGTCCACAGGCCTCTAGGTGAGAGATCTGAGCAGCAATCATGGTTTTGCCCTCTGGGAAAAGCTTTAGGGTTAGGGGAAGGCCACGGGGGTGCTTTGGCAAGCCTCGGTGAAGGCAGGGGAACGGAGGGCATGAGCCCTGCCAGCCTCTGCCAGCCTGTGAGGTCGCAGGGACCTAACCATCAGACAGGGGAGAGGCAGCTCCTTTCCCCCGCCTGCTCCAGGCCTGTGGCCTCATGGACTGCTCTGTCTGCCACTGGTTAGGATCCCACCTAAGTACCTTTGATAGTCACCCTGGGCCTCAGATACGACTTCCTCTCGAAGTCCCTAGAAAAGGAGAACGTGGGGCGCCCGGGTGACCCAGTGGTTGAGCGTCTGCCTTCAGCCCAGGGCGTGACCCCAGAGTCCCGGGATCAAGTCCCACATCGGGCTCCCCGCAGGGAGCCTGCGTCTCCCTCTGCCTGGGTCCCTGCCTCTCTCTCTGGGTCTCTCATGAGTAAGTAAATAGAATCTTTAAAAAAAGAATAAAGAAAATGAGAACTCGCGGAGGGAAGGCCAGTCACCCCGTGTGCGGCCTCAGCCCTCAGCCCCCGCGGCCTGTGGGCTCCGGCACCACCAAGGCCCTGTCTCCCCTTCCTCGGAGCCGTCGCCGGCGAGGAATCCCACCTGAGGCCTGTGCGAGGGGGAGAGTCCGCGGATCCCCCCAGGGGACGGCGCCCACACGACATGCGCCCGGGGATCCCTCCCCACAGGACGCGGAAGGTGTGGGTCCGCTGCGCTCGCTCCAGCCTCCTGCCGGGACGCCAGGGTGGCCGGCAACAGCCGCACCTGTCGCGGGGACCCCGCTGCCCTGAATCCGGGGGCGGGTGCTCCATCCCCGAGGCAAGTCCCGGTTCTGCCGGTTCCCGCGGGGCCTGGTGAGGCGGCCAGCCCGGACCCTGGAGGCACGGGGCGGGAGCTCGAGCTCCCGGGACGCGCAGGGACTTGGGGTCTGCGGCCCTGCTCGCAGGGACTCTCTCCGGGCCTTGGCCCAAGTCCCGAGGGCCCCGAGCGAGGCCGCGGGACCCGAGCTTGGTGGGAGCCGGCATTTTCCGCGTGGCTCTGCGCCGCGGCCCAGCTCCGTCTCTCGTGGGCCAGGCTCTACTTGGGAGCGAGCGTCCGGGAGGCGGCGGCACCTCGGGCTCCCCAGCGCCCGCGCCAGCCCCTCGGCGGCTCCTTCCTGGCCCTGCCCGGGCTCCCCTGCTGCCCCGTGGCCCCGGGGCCCTGGCCCCACTCCCCCCACCGCCCGAGAGCTGACTCGGGCATCTGTCTGCAGGGGGGCCGGGGTCCCCGGGAGAGCAGCCCCCTCATGCGGTGTGGGGGCCAGGCAGGTGCACCCGGGCGGCCTCCTGCCTCACCCGCCCCGACGCCGTCTCTCTTCCCGCTTCCCACCGGGAAGGCCGAGGGCGCAGGAGCCGCTCCCCTTGGGGCTCGGTGGGCAGGACTCCTCCCCGGAGCCGCCGCCGCTGCGGCTCGGGTGACAGCTGGCTCTGTGCCCCGCGCGGGGCTTGAGCTCGTGCACCCGAGGTCGCGCCACATGCTCCAACCTGGGCCGGCCCGGCCTCCTCAGCCCCCTTCGCTGTCTACTGAAGCCGAGTCGACACACGATGTCGCATTACTTGGGCGTGTGCACCCGGTGGCCTGACGATTGTGCGCGTCCCCCAGCGGAGCCGCAGGTCCCTCCGGAGCTGCCGGGAGGACGGGATGGTCGGAGGGTCGGGAGGGCGTCCCCCCGGGGGCGAGGGAGGCACGGCCTCGCGGGCCGCCGGCCTGTGTGCGAACCCCAACTGGGCCTCGGCGGGCTGCGTGGGGCTAGCTGGCCGGGTCACGTGCCCGCCGTGAAGCCGTCGTCTGGGACGCGAGGTGGGACGGACCACCCCGGGGCCCCAGGGTCCAGACGGAGAAGGCTCCCGGGGAGGCGGGCGGCCGGGGCCGCAGAGGGCTCCTCGCTCCTGCCCGAGGCCGGCTCAGGACTGACTTAGGAGAGTGA